ACAAGCAACTTTGCTAAAATTTAAACAACCCATAAAGTGAGACAGAGCTAATGTGGCAATGATGTGGCATAAAGAACTCCATTGCAGATGTTCTTAAATAACCAATTATCTCACTTAGATTTGCCGCTTTCTAAGTCGAGACTGGGTCTGCAGCATTAATCATACTTTATAAGGCAGTAGTTTATTTATTTTCTCTACTTTCTTTGCTTTGTTAGCTCTTGTAACTAAAAAAACAAAAATATCCAAAATTAGTTATAGCTAAAATTGATTATATAACTAATTATAGTAAAACATGATTTTAAAAATTTAAAATAAAACTATTTTTATATTTAATACACATTTCCAACTGTTTTATGTTTTCATAATTTATTCTATATAAACTAGAATAATTATTTTAAATAAAAATAATTTTAGGAACTATTTTTCAACAACATTTTAGTTATTTTTCTTTAATGGGAATAGTTTTAGAGAATATTTTAATGAGAAGACCACTTTCGTATAAACTTGTGTTTAAATTTGGAACACATTTACGAGTGTGATATATTTTTCAAGAATGTTCCACACCACTAGTTTCTATGGTCGAGGGATGAACACTAGGCACCCCTATCTCCCTGCGACCGTAATGCATATGGCGTAGCAGCTATGAGCTACCAAATACCAATCATAGCAGAGCTTAACATAACATCATCCATGGCCACAGCAACCTCGTCTTTTGTCTTTCTCAAATCTCACACGTCACTGCCTCGTGTCACCAAAACCTTGTCCACGCGCGTTCATGGGGTTGCACATGGAATCAGAACCCGCACAAGTTACAAACCCATAAAGGCTCTATCTCAATCTCAATCTCAGTCTGATGTTCGAAAGGAACAAGTTGTGATCGTGGGTGCTGGGATTGCAGGCCTTGCAACCGCTCTGTCCCTTCACAGGTTGCAACTCTAATAATGTGATAATGTCTCTTCTTTATTCACTTGAGTGTTCTAATAGCATTAATTTACATACACTATGCATCAGGCTTGGAGTTCGGTCCTTGGTGCTGGAGCAGGCAGAGTCACTTCGAATCGGTGGAACTTCACTCACCCTTTTCAAAAACGGATGGAGTATTCTTGATGCAATTGGAGTAGCAAATGATCTTAGAACTCAATTTTTAGAAATCCAAGGGTACACATACCAACACGGTTCTAAAAAACTCCATTCTTGCTTAATGCATATACAAGCTTATCTTGATGTGGTTCACAGTGTCAGCTGTACAGGATTGTGGTGAAGTCCGAGGATGGGAGGGAACTACGTGCCTTTAATTTCAAACAAGAGGATCAAAGGTATGTTCCATGCAATGCGGATTCAAAGAAATTATTACATGGTGTGTGACTGTGTGCTTTGATTATTTGTATGAGGCTATTTATTAGCTTTGTTGAGGAAGAATATTATTTTATGAAATGCAGCCAAGAGGTACGTGCTGTGGAAAGGAGAGTGCTATTGGAAACCTTGGCTAGTCAGCTACCTCCAGATACCATTCAATATTCTTCTCAATTAGAAAGGATTGAAGCAGGTCCAAACGGGGATACCTTATTGGAACTTGGGGGTGGGTCTAAGCTGCTTGCAAAGGTTAGTCATTGTGATTTAGAGCCTCTTTGTATGAGTTGAAAGTGCTTTTCAAAACATTTCTATTAAAATAAGGTTCTTTATTTTCAATAAAAAAATTCTTAAAAGCTATGTTAAACTTGTATCTAATAAGGCCCATGATTTGCTTCTTAGTGTTAATCCAATGATTGGCTATGATTGAAATCTTAGTGCTATATTGTCCTAGTTAATGTTGGAACTGAAAAGAAACTTAATTTAATCTATGAATAGATTGTGATAGGGTGCGATGGGATTCGATCACCAATAGCTAAGTGGATGGGGTTTCCTGAGCCCAAGTACGTTGGTCATTGTGCTTTCCGGGGGCTTGCTTCTTATTCAGATGGACAACCTTATGAACCAAGAGTGAATTATATCTATGGAAGAGGGTTGCGTGCTGGCTTTGTTCCTGTTTCTCCAACCAAAGTTTACTGGTTTATCTGCTTCAATAGTCCATCTCCAGGTTCTTAATATAAACAAAATGTGTTGTTAAGTCACTGAGTTTATAGTTGTAACTTGCATGATGTGTCATTTCCTTATAAAAAATAGTTGTGTCTGTTCAATGGCAGGTCCAAAAATAACTGATTCATTGGTGCTGAAGAAGCAAGCTAAGGAACTAGTGAAGAATTTTCCTACAGAGCTATTAAACATAGTGGATTCTACACCAGATGACACTGTCATCAGGACCCCATTGGTAGATAGGTGGCTTTGGCCAGCCATAAGTCCACCTGCTTCTGCAGGAAGAGTTGTGGTGGTTGGAGATGCATGGCATCCAATGACCCCAAATCTCGGGCAAGGAGCTTGTTGTGCCCTTGAGGATTCACTGGTTCTTTCTAAAAAACTTGCCAGAGCTATCAAGTCTGAAGACTCATCTGTGGAAGAAGCTTTCAGGTCATTTGGCACTGAAAGATGGGGCCGTGTATTTCCACTAACCATACGTGCAAACCTTGTAGGTTCCATTTTGCAGTGGGAGAACCCAGTGGTGTGTTCTGTTAGGAACAATATTGTGTTACCTAAGCTAGTCAGGCTCGGGCCATTGCTGGAGCATACAAATTTTACTTCTGAGAGTATATAAAGAAGAAAAGCAAGGAATAGAAATTTTCATCTCTGCTCAATCCACCACTCTAGTTCCTACACTATCCACACCAGGATATGTACACTGCATTTAATTGGTGTAAAGAGAGATGTTATGTTCATTTTTAAATAGGTTATAAGCATAGTAATTGTGTCAACTTCAAGTTACCTAATGATTGGCTTGCAAAAAATGATATAGGGTACTTTTACCAATAATAGTTTAATCACTTTAAGGATTTTGTTAATAGGAAAGAATCCCTCTGATACGTGATACCTATAAAGCAGTAACTCTAACAACATGTCCATTAAGAGTTGTTCATTATACACATAAAAGTTAAAATCAACCATACATCATTTCATTTCTATCCTATTATCCTGTCGGGTCGAAATTGAACATGTGTATGCGAATTTGAATTTAACTGTGATCCTTATTTCTGTAGGATAAAGCAAAGAAGTTGTATTCCAGTCAAAATTAAAGAAATGTTGTGAATGAATAAACATACAAACAAATAATCACAAGGTATAACTCAGTTGTTTGGGATAATGAATTATTGTAAAGTTTTTACACTAAATTCGATTTGAATGAATAAGAGAACACATACAAAAATCAATCTAATAATACAGAGCGTAATAAATTTTGTATCTAGATTCCAGGACAAGTAGACGAGATCCACCGCATATTTGTTTCTGCAAGCAGGTATCGTTTCGTTCCTTCCCGAGACTTTAGTGAAAAAGTCAACATAATGGTGAGGGTTTTACCAGGCGTTGACCATAAGGTGAAATAGTTCATCCATCAAATCGTGGAATCTGGGAAAAATAAAGCAGTTAAGAAAAAGCGGAATCTAAAATTGAGAAAGAAAAAGGAAGAGGGTGAGAGAGAGGGAAGGTTTGCCTTAGAAGGTGGGAGAGGGAGCAGAGAAGAACCAGAGGATGATGGCGCAGAGGAGAACGAGAAGAGGGATAAGATGGACAGCGTTTTGCGCTGATCTGAGACGAGAGAGGTCTCTCTGGGCAACGTGGGAGAGAGGATCGTATGTGGGTAGGTGTTGGTCGGTGTCCATGTCGGAATTCAAGGATCCGCGAACACTACCACTCGACCTCTGCATATGTATTGTTTGTTGTGGTTGTGAAGAGGAATATAAGACAAGAAATAGGTTTTAGAATTTAGGAATTAGGAATTAGGATCCAAAGAGTGTGTCTTAACTCTTAAGGGATCCTCTCCGATCCTTCTTCTCTTTCTCGGTTTCTCCTCTCCTTCCTCTGTCACTTGTTTCTCACATTTTTCAATTTTTACTACCACGTAATCTTTCTC